CCAATTTCCTACCCCCATTCCCTGTTCCCATTTCCCCCACCCCACCCACACTTCCTGATTGACTGCAGACTACATAGTAAAACTTGAGTTCTGCTTAGCTATACCTTAACCAATCATTTTACTGAAATTTAACTAACCAATCCTAACATATTGTAACATGATTATTTAACCAGTTATATCCCACCACCTTAATTAGTTTACGCCCAGCAAAATTAATTATACAGCAGACAGGAACAATCACAGAACCAGACAGAGATTATGCAGACAAACAATAGGGAAATGGGGACTACAGTGATAGAACAAACACAGAAATGTGAATTTCACATCCCAGCTATTGATAAGTGAGTTCTTGCCAGACAGAAAACTATCAACCTAAATTTCCTTTTACATCTTCTAGGCTCTTCCCTTTCTCTGGAGGTGATAGATCGGATCACCTTCCTAACAGCCCCATATTGACTAGTTTGGAATGTGAGGATGTGACCAGTCGCTTCCCAGCTTATGGCTGCCTCTGCTGCTTAGCCAAAGGCCCTAGCCTAAGAACAGGGCCTCAGACTGTCACAGTAAGAGAAGGCTCTTACACCGGCAGACAGGGATTTTGATTCTTTCTTTTATACCTCTATAACTAGCCAAGTGATAAGAATACACCTAAATTCTTAGAGTATAGGCCTTTACAGACTGGCCTGAATATCTATATCCTAACAGGCCCTCTTCCTCTCCTCTCCCACTTCTGGCGGACGTTCCACAGGGCTCCATCCTTGGTTCCCTAGTCTTCTCCTGCTATATGCCAGGCTAGGGTCTCCAGTTCTCATTGGACTTAAGGCAGCCAAAGTTAGACAGCAGAGGCTGCTCCACAGCTTTCTGCACCAGCTGTCCTCTCGGGCCCCTCATATGGGGAAGGGGCATTCTGGTGAGTTGGGGAGAAGGCAGGGTAGAGTGGAAGTCTATTCCCCCCGATCCTCCATGGCATAAAGCCCTCTATAGACTTTATGCACATTCGAGCTCCTCCCCTACAGCTCTAACGTGAAATGGGACCAGGCAGCTCAGGATTAGGGAGCAGCAAGTATCCCTCTGTAGTGCCCCTTCTGCATCCCAGGGTGGAACATCTGCCCAACTCTCTCCAGGGACCTCATCCACTCACATTACTTCAATTCCTATTCTATGCAAATGACTCACAAATTTACTTCTCTACTGTTGACCTGTCTCCCTCTATCCAGTCCCATACCTTGGCCTATCTCCCTGGCTTTTGCTTGTGGCTGTGTTACCATCCGCTTACATTCAACATGTCCAAAATGGAACTCACTTTTCCCCCTCTCCTTGTCACAGCTGACAGTGCCATCATCCTCCCCATTAATCAGGCCTATAACCTGGATGTCATCTGTGACTCTTACTCCCCCTCTCTCTAGCCCCACAAATCAGGGCCATATCCAGATCATGGCATTGCCTCCACCAGGACATTTCTAAAATCCACAATGCTAAAACTCTTGCTCAGGCCAGCATCAACTCCCGTCTTGACTAAAATGCAGTCCCCTCCTGTCTGGGTTTCCTAATTCCCACCTCAGCTCCCCCTAACATTCATTCCATGGTATCACTGCTCTGCTGCTGGGATCATGCTGACCATGTTGCCTCCCTCTTGGAGCATCTCCGCTGGTGGTTCTTCTGCTGCTGCATTCAATTCAAGTTTCTTATCCTTATCTTTATGGCCCTTCAGAACTTTTCCCCTCTCCATTTAACCACTCTTCCATCTTTTTGCATTGACTCCACCGTGTCCATCATGTCAGTGATTCCAGCCTCCTTCACCCATTTGTGTGTTCCTTTTTGCTTTCCTCCATGCCACCCCTATGCATGGAATGTTTTCCCTTACTAGTCCATAAAACTACTGTCCTCGCCTCCTTCCAGCCCATTCTCAAGTCCCTCCTCTGCAACGATACCTACAGTTAATGACCCACTGCCAATGGCTGTAAGGATTACCAATATAAATATTATTTTGTTTCTATCTAATAACTTAAGAAATGAGTGCACTGCAACTATATAGTTATGCAGACAATGTCCTCTACATCACCACATGGTGCTGCTGCTGTCACCCTTGTCCTCCCTCTTCTTTCCCTCATACGTCTTTGTTTGTTACACCCACTTATTATATCTGAAATTGGATCATAAGCTCTTTGGTGTTTGCACAGTGCCTAGTACAATGAGGCCTCAATCCCTGACTGGGGCTTCTGGATGCTACTGCCCTACAAATAAAAAATAATATCAACAGCCATAATTTAAAGATGCCATTTCCTGGCAAAACACCTAAGGAAGGACATCAGTGCAAACACTGCCTGCCCTTCCCCAGGGGTGAAACTCTCTGCGATGTAGCAGCCTGGGCTGCTGGCTCAGGTTTGCACATCTCTGAACCAAGGGGATGAACCAAGCCCATGGAGTCCTAAAATGGTGTCAGTGAGACTAAATTAGTGTGATTTCCATACTGAGAGGGGCTAGAAGAAACTGCAAGTTAAAGCAGGGGGAAGAATCATTAGGCGTGTCATAAACACTGGATTTTGGCATCACTCACTGATTCTGACAGGCTGAGGAAGGTCTGTTTAAAGGAGTCATCTACATGCAGATCATTAGCAGTGGTGGGAAACGAAACAGAGGAAAAAGTACAGGAAAGTTTTAATGGGAGGCTGATAAAATCCTTCAGTTCTGTAAAGTTTGTTGGAATGTGGCAGTGGCTCTTTAAACAATGCAAATTTTCAGAAAGCTGATTGAGAACAGCCTCATTTTATAGAATAGACCTATAGGGAATCCTAGGACGCAAAGTTAATATGAATTCCCTAAAATGCAAATTTTATTAAACAACCCTTTCCTCCTCCTCCTTCGATGCAGTGGGAATGAATTCTTGCTATTCTGGACCTAAGAAAAGTGGCTTGTTGGTTCCCTTTTGATGTTATGACAGCGTTCCCAAATGCTTCATCTCGTAAGGCTGCAGATAGTTTGTCGCTTATCAACATGGTCCTTGGTTGCTCATTGCAGTACCATAAAAGTTAGTACAGTAAATCCTATTAAGGGGAACTGAGTTTGACATGGGGAGAGAGGCAGATGTTTCATATGAAATGCAAAGATAATGAAAGGGAAATTGAGGCAGAGTTATTTCTACTGACAAGTATAGTAAGATTCAATTTGCGGTAGCAGTGACTTCTTTTCTTTTTTTTTAGTTACTTAGGAAAGTGAAGGCCCAATAGCTCTGGTTAGAGCTGCGTGCAGTGCAGGCAGGTGTTATGCCAGATTGCTCTGTTATTGCTATTATTAATTAATAGTGCAGTTAAAATTATTTGTATATCAGCAGAGTCTGAAGTCCCCAGGATGAAGGCCCCATTGTGCTAAGTGCTGTACAGTTCTTCCCTGAATAGCTCCCAGTCAAAATAGGCAAACAGACAAAAGGTGGGATAAAGGGATGCAACATACACACAGCTCTTCTGCTCAGGAATTGCCTCTTTGTACTGCACTTGTACAGTGTGCCTAGCACAATGGGGCGGGGGAACTAAATGCTACCACAGTACAAATAATCATCATAATACACACAGTTCTGCTAATTGACCTCAGTCTTAATTTGCGGCATCTGACAGCACACCTCAGTTCTGAGCTTGTTACTCCACACATGGGCCTCCCCTTGAGCAGAGACTAACAGTTCTGGCGCATGGTATATTTGAGGACGCGTGTGTGTGTTGTGAAATACGTTTAGATTGGCACCAGCTCCCAGTCTGCGTGGTGTGCGAGTTCTAAACAAGTGTTAAAAACAATGACAAAGTAACAGCTCAATGGGCCAGTAGAGGGCAATGGTACAAAAGTACCCAGGGTTTGAGCAGTGACTCTCCCTTTAAAGTTGGGAACAAAATTTAGACCAGGAGACAGGAAAATTACCATAACAAAGCACTTTCAAAACTTAAATCTTTTAAAACCAGAAGCTAAACTCCCATCGAGACTCTACTATAGTGTGTTTCTCTAAGGCATAGACAGTGTCTGACTGGAACAGTTGATCTTTCATGTAAGCAGTGGTTCTCAACCAGGAGTCCAGGGCTCCTTAGGGGACCACAAGCAGGTTTCAGAGAGTCCGCCAAGCAGGGCTGGCATTAGACTTGCTGGGGCCCAGGGCAGAAAGCCGAAGCCCCACCGGTGAAGCCTGAGGCCCTAAGCCCTGCCACCAGGGCTGAAGTTGAAGCCTGAGCAACTTAGCTTCACAGGGTCCACGGTGGCATGGGGCCCTAGGCAATTGCCCTGCTTGCAACCTCCTAACGCCGGTCCTGGTTTTTATACGTAGAAAAACACAGTTGTGGCACAGCTGGGCCATGGAGTTTTTATACCATGTTGCGGGTCGGGGGGGAGGGAGGCTTAGAAAGAAAAAGGTTGAAAACCCCTGCCTTAAAGAAATGGATGTCTTTTACTGATGGGCTCTCCCTAGCTTTCATTGTCAGAAAATCTAAATGCTGACTGAATTAATTGCCACTTCTTCCTAAATTGCTGGGTTTTACCAGTGTAAATGTGAAAGAGAGTTTGGAACATAGAGACTAATTACGTTGAAGTGTAACCAGTCTCCTCATACAGAGTCCCAAACTGTCCTGGCCAAATTGTGTCAGCTTAGAACTGCCATTCCTTGGCTGGTTATTTCCATAATCTGTAATAACAAACAGGACCGTTCAAGGAATTTGGCCTTTACTCAGCTGAATGTCTCTTATAGGGAAAAGCAACTGAACCTACTCAAATTTATTATTCAGATAGACCTATATCACTGGGCAGTCAGCCAAATGCACCTTGAGTTTACAAACTTTCGTAGCAATGTATTGCTTAGTTTTTTCCTAGACCAACGGGTTAAATGAGATGAGGAAAACTACTCCGCACCAAGAAAAAGCTGTGCCATGGTAGAATGCACCACTTGATCTCTTTGTTCTTTACTATGAAAAGCCCTGTGATTTGCCCAGGTTAAAATTCTCCCCTCTGTATTCATTGCTCTTCTCTGCCAGGAAGTCTGTCATCCAGCTAGACTTGGCCAATACCAAGAAAGCTCTGATCGTACCAGCTTTTGAGACCCTTCGGTACCGCCTCTCCTTCCCCAAGTCAAAAGCAGAGCTGTTATCTATGTTGGACATGGGAACCCTCTTCACATTCAGGTAACAGAAGGCACTTTCACTGAACCTCCAGCAGTGATCAACCTTGGCTTCTTGCTCATCTGTGGACATGTGGCTTGCCTCTCCCCTGGCCAGTCAGTAGTTCAATTAAGAAATGTATTGAGGTTTTCCCCCACTTTATTAAAAGGCAGTGATCTAGTGCCCCAACAGCTTGATTGGTGCATGTATTTCATCTTTAAACCCTGCATGTTATCTACTAATATTTCCCTGAGGGTTTTGCCCTTCCCTGTAGTCTAACCTCCTATTGTTAAATTGGCCTCATTTTATTTTTGACATTTTTATTGCATTACAAAATCACACAAGAGCATTAAACCAGCGAGTGTGTAATATACCCTTTGTTGGCTAAGCACAGTCCAGGTAACTACCATTCATGTGACCAAGAAATAGTTTTCTACTGTTCACCAGCTGGCCCCAATATTGACTGATTGATCAATTTTTTAAAAGGCTGAATGGTCATGGGTCTTTTATAAGCTAGTGAGCAGCTAGACAAGTAAATGATGTTTCTCAATGCAAAGGAAAAACATTGTGGTTTTGTCGGTCTGAATACAAGACTGGGAGGCAGGAACACCTGAGGTTTAAACTCATCTGTGAGACAGACTCCTTCGGTGGCCTTGGATCAGGGGTGAAAGTAGGCTAGCATGGCGTACCGGTAAGAAGTGGCCGCAGGTACCAGCCCGTACGCAGCTGATGTCATACCACTGCCATGGCAGCACTTTAACATCGCTTCCCCTTTTGCCTCACCTCCCATTGGCAGCCCGGCCAGTAGGTCCTACCGGCAGGGCCACCGACGGAGGGGGTAAAAGGGGCAGCTGCCCTGGGGCCCAGCAATTTAAAAGGGCCGGGGCTCCCGGCTGCTGCTACCACAGCAGCAGCCGGAGCCCCAGGCCCTTTTAGATTGCCGCCAGAGCCCTGGGCAGCGTGGGCCAGGCAGTGTGGATGGGCTGGCTGGGGGAGGCTGACGCCCCACCCCTTCCACCTGAGGTCCCGCCCCTTTCAGGGCCCTCTTACCAGTAAGTCTTCTGTGTTACTTTCACCCCTGCCTTGGACTTCCCTTCTCTGCTTCAGTCCCCTCATCTGTAAATTGAGAATAATAATACTTACCTAGGCTTGATGAGTGGATAATTTGAAAGTGCCACAAAGCTAGAAAGTGTGCAGTGTAGCCTGCTGGGTGCAGCACCAGACTGGGCCTCAGGAGACCTTGGTTCTATTTCCAGCTCTGACCTGCTGGATGACCTTTGACAAACCACTTCACCTCCCGGTGCCTCAGTTTCACATCTGTAAAATGGGGATAATAATGCTTACCTCTCCTGTGTTAAAACGCTGTGAGAGCTATAGATGAAAACCATTATATAAGAGCTAGGTGGTATTATTATTATTATTATTCAGTGGAAATCTTCCTCTCCTTTCCCCTTGTCTTTCCTCGTCTCACAAATTGTTCTTGTGGCAGATGCCGCTTTTCCCCCACTACCTGTATTCCATACCTCTCCACTTGCAGTGGGTTTCTTTCATGTTGCTAAGCTGCAGCATCTTCTGAGGTGCACTAGCAACTTCTTTGCCAGCTGCTTCTACAGACACTACAGCAGGTGGTTCATATGACCCTGAAGTACACTGTTTTGATGGTACCACTGTCTGTGATTCACTTGGAAACAGGAAACTCAAGGCAACTGAAAGGTAGGAGAAAGAATAGAGGTGTTATATCAGCTCCTGGGAAAAAAATCTCAAGGGGGTGAGGAAAGTTTGCTCTCCTCTCTCCTTCCATTGCTCCTTAACTGTATAGCAATTTATAGATTAACTTGAGGTTTGTTTATAGGAAATAACTTTCCCTCTTAGGTGAAAAAATAACCTCTAGTGAGAAATAATACCCTCAAGATTTTACTTCAGATCTTATATTCCATTGACAATCACATTTTCAGCCTGCACCGTAGTGATTTTCCACTATGGACCTCATCTTCAGGCTTTATAGTATATACGTATGTTACATGCATGCACACAGCCAAATCCTGAAGTCCTTTCTAAACTCCCTGTAACTTCATTGGGGATTTGACCCGAGTAAGGACTGAATAAGAACAGGGAAAAGATGTCAGGCCTGCAGTACATTTATGTACTTACTTGGGACATATTTTATAAACACTCTCCTAATCATCTCTGTCTCATCATATTGGTTAAATCTATCAGCAGGCAACAACCGCTGGGACCGGGGCTGAGCATTTCCACCTACATTTTCAAGGTGCTTTTAATAACGCTGCAAGTTGAAGCCAAGCTAGCGAGAGTGAGCTGGGAGGAGGACTGCTGTGACAGTGATTGCTGATCATGCCTGCAGCATCCCAGATCCTCACACCACATGCTAGATTACAATCTTTTCCTCAGTGAAATTGCTTTTGTCACCTCTTTTCCAAATGGTGACCTTTTCTGCCTCTGGGCTGCTGAAAAATACAAAGCGGCTCTCAATTACATCCTTCCCACAACTACCCCCCCCCCCAAACACACACATCCACATAAACACAAAAAGTCATTTAAGCTTTCATGGTTGCCAAGAGGTGCTGTGTGAAAAACCTTTGCACCAGGGGAATACCTTGTGAAATCATTCTGGCTTTGTTTCATGGAATTAGTTTTTACTGTGCCTTGGCAAGATGTATCTACTTAGTACTGGGTAATGTCCCAAGGACAAGGGACTGTGCTTCTGGTGGACTCTGACAAGGATAATGAAGGTACAGAAGGTAAAAGAAAGCACCATATTGAGACAGTGTAACCAGCAATAACTGATAAACTGGTTGAGGCCTCAGCCCATAACCACATCAGTATTCCCATTGAAGCCAATGGGACTGCTCATGTGCTTAAAGTTAGGCACATGTTGAAGTACTTGGAGGATGAAGATCTGAATGAGAAAACTGGGGATGTTGGTTTGCATGCCGAAGAGACAATATTACTGATACAAGAGGCAATAAGACTGATGAATTTCACTACTATGTCTCTGTGACAAATGTCTGGTAAAAATTACCATTTTACGGTAGAGTCTTTTGGGTGGAGATCTTTTTAACAGTATCTAAATAACTTCAGCAGAGCTAAAATTTCACAAGATAGTCAGCCTGTAGCCAATACCCAGTTTTGGCATGTATATATTCCTGAACTATCAGAAAGATGGCTACAAACCCAATTGTTCTTTCATAATCAGTCTATAGTGACCTTATTTCAGCATCCCACATCCACCTCCCTCTTTCTCTTCCCTTACCAGACATATCTGCTACAAGATACAATATCCACTTGATATAGCAACTGCACAGTTATTGCATTGTGTTCCCAGCGAATATGATATCTGATCCCAGAGTTCATCCACTTAATAACTAGATTTTCCCCCCTCATTCAGAAGCACAATAATATGATTATTATCTTGTTATACTCTCTTAGCTGCCAATGTGTGTGGTTTCTCCATGTGATCCCATCATATTGAGCTAAGTCATGCTGAAGAAGCAAATGCAAAATCCTTGATCTATTTAGAGACCCTGTTACATTGAGAAAAACACTGACACTAACAATGGAATTTCAGGTGCTTTTAAAGAAGCTGAATTTTCTGTACACGATTTGTTGGTCTCAGTTTATTTTCTTGTGCACAGGTGGCCGCATCACAGAACCACCCTCACTGCTGTATTGATTGGCATCTTATAGTCAGCTGTTGAGTCAGAGATACCAAGAACTGAATAGACTTAGAGAATGAACTACCCTCTGATCCATCGGTTTGGACCCTCCCAAGGAAATACATTGATTGGACAGGGAGCATGTAGCTCCTCCCTCCTTTAATCAGCGTTTCCACTTTCCTTTCACTCACCTTCTCCCCTCCTTTTCCCCCACTACCTTCCCTTCTAGTTTGCTTTTGTCTCCTCCGCTCCCTCCCTGATTTTTTTCTCTCGTGCTCTTCTTTATCCTGTTTTGCTCTTCCCTTTTTGGTTTTCTCTTCTCTCTCTCTCTCTCTCCCTGCCTCCCAGGGGATACCTGTGCTGCTGCTCCTGCCTCTATTACTATGTGAGTGGGGCCCTGGATAACTGTAGAGGGAAAGTGATACAACTCTGGTCAGGTTCATGTTCTGCTCTTGCTGTTGCCACTGGGGAAGCATTATGGACAGGAATTAATTAATTAGCTGTCATTTGTAGGGTGCTTTGAAAATTCAGATCACTACAACTGTTAAATAGTAAGCACGTATTTATTTATTTACTTACTTACTTACTACTTTCAAAATGCTAGAGGAAGGATGAGGGAAAATGCTGCATTCCCCACAATCCTACATCAGATTTAAAACGCCTGTTATGATTGTGGTTTATTTCACTAGGGCCTGGATTGAGACTACCAACTCATTTCCTGAAGACATCAAATGGCCAACAGATGGTAAAATTGTGTCGGTGCCAGAATATGAGCGAGATAAGGTAGGTGAGGAAATATCTTTTATTGGACCAACTTCTGTTGATGGGAATGTGCAAGCTTTTGCCCAGACCTGAAGAAGAGCTCTGTGAAGTTTGAAATCTTGTATCTTCCATCAACAGAAATTGGTCCAAAAGAAGATTTTCCCTTACTTACCTCGTCTCTCTCAATAGATGGTAAAGGTTTTGATCTCTCGCAGCCTGGAAAGTCAAACCAGTGACTTAGAGTTGAATGGCTCTGTGCTACTAGTTAGCCAGTCTCATTGAAGTGATGCAACCTGTTTAACTATGATGATGATAATAATAACAACAACAACATATAAAAGTGAAACCTTCACATCTTAAAAGAACATCAGTTACTGTATAGTAAATAATTTCCTGATAGCCATTTCCCTCCTGCACTGATCTATTCCAGGATGAAGAGAGAAAGTGAACTTTAGCTTCTTTCGGTTTCTCTAGGTACTATAAACAATAAGATACACCCAAAATGTAAACTCTGAGGCTGTAATTTTTACCTCTGTGTTCCTGGTTCTTCATAGTTTGTAATGTTATCCAGACCTCTGAGATCAAAATATTAGGATCTAGGCCCTAAACCTGCAAATAGTTACGCACATGTTTCACTTTACGCACAAGTTGTCTGTCCCCTTGAAGTCAAGGTGCCTTATATTGCCCAACTGCATGTTTGTTTTGCTCCTCTGTTATAAATCTCAAAATACTACAATACAGATCACCTGCCTTATGCTTTTTCTTGATTTAATCCATGATTCTGCAGCAAGAGCCTGTCTCAGCGATTTCTGGAAAAGTGTAAGAAGAGTAAAAGGGCAAGAGAATCATTGCTCCTTGTGTTAGTGGGGTGAATTCAAGCTGTGCTTGGAAGAGACCTGCCGTGACATAAATAAGATTAACAAAATATTAAAGGATCCTTTCTTATAAATTGAATTGATGGTCTTACATAGAATCATGTTGGATAAAATGATATCTGTAGTATCATGGAGAGCATTTATCTAGACTTTTACGTATTAGTGGAATTATTTATTTGGGTTCTTACAGTAATAATAAAAAAGAGGCACTTGTCCAGAGCTCCAGGTGTCTCTTGCACAACATAAAATGTAAATATAAAATATATAATTCTCATCATCGTGGAACTGTAATAGCCAATTCAAGAGCTTTAAATGAACTACACAATTACATACCTATTTTCCAGCATTGATGGCACCGCACCATTGCTGGGAAATGGATATCAAATTTTGTAGTGTAGATGCATCCCTTGTGTTTTCCATAATTATTGTTTCTCAGTATCAGTCATGGATAGCCCTTTTAATAATTGTCTTTTTGTCAGTTAACTTCATCAGCCTGGTATGTATAAGCACCAAGCACATGGAAGTACAGTAACTCCTCACTTAACGTTGTAGTTATGTTCCTGAAAAATGTGACTTTAAGCAAAACGATGTTAAGTGAATCCAATTTCCCCAAAAGAATTAATGTAAATAGCGGGGGGTTAGGTTCCAGGGGGAAAATTTTTTTGCCAGACAAAAGACTATATTGTGTGTGTGTGTGTATATATATATATACATACACACACACAGTATAAGTTTTAAACAAACAATACTGTACACAGCAATGATGATTGTGAAGCTTGGTTGAGGTGGTGACGTCAGAGGGTGGGATATTTCCCAGGGAATGCCTTACTGCTAAATGATGAACTAGCAATTGGCTGAGCCTCAAGGGGTTAACTTGTTGTTAATGAAGCATCACACTCTACCAGGTAGCAGGAATGGAGGGAGGGGAGACAGCATGGTAGATAGAGACACACACTGTGTGTGTATGTGTGTGTGTGTGGGGGGGGAGGAATGCGCATTTCCCCTTTAAGTAAGCTGACCCACTCTTAAGTACACTGCCTTGTTAAGTTAATCAGCAAGCTGAGACCACAGCTGCTGCCAAGAAGCTCCCTCTGTCCTGAGTCCTGTCCTGTGTCCCCCCCTCTCCGTTCTATGGAGATGGGGTAAGTGGGGGTGCAGGAGAAAGGGGGAGGGGGACACCCTGACATTAGCCCCGCTCTCCTCCCCCCCCCCCCCCAGCAAGCAGGAGGTTCGGGGAGCAGCTCCAAGGCAGAGGGCAGGAGCCGCACATGGCAGTGGGGGGAGGGACAGCTGAACTGCCAGCAATTGGTAGCCCGCTGGGCTGGGCGGCTGCCGCACAGAGAACTTAGGGGAGCAGGGAGCTGATACGGGAGCTGCAAGTCCACCCTGGTTCCAAGCCCCCACCTGCTAGCTGCAACCGGCCGCTCTTCCTGCAAGCAGTGGACAAAGCAGGCGGCTGCCAAACGACGTTATAAGGGAGCGTTGCGCAACTTTAAACGAGCATGCTCCCTACTTGATCAGCAAGGTCGCAACAAAACAGCGTTAATCAGGACAGCTTTAAATGAGGAGTTCCTATATTGGAAAATGCTTCAGAAATGGTCATAGTGTATTGAGTTGCCTATAATATGTCCTAAAAATAATAGCGGACTGTACAGCTAATGTCCTCATTTTCAAGGGTTCCATCTCAAAGCTAATGTTGTGCAGTTTTACCAAGATGTGTCTTATTTCACTGTTCCCCCACGCCCATGCAAGTTGTGTATATTCAAGGTATCACGTCTGGACGAAAGGGCATGCACCAACGAACTTTGCCAAATGGCGGACAGCCACCACACCTTACCAAGTTGAGTGGGAAGCAGACTTTGAGCCATATGTTGTTGTGAGGCGGGACTGCCCGGAGTATGACAGAAGGTTTGTAGGATTCGGCTGGAACAAAGTAGCTCACATAATGGAACTGGATGCACAGGTGAGGAGACCTCTTCTTAATGAGATTCTTAGTGAGATGCATGGTTTTTATAACAGAGGGGTAGCCGTGTTAGTCTGGATCTGTAAAAGCAGCAAAGAGTCCTGTGGCACCTTATAGACGAACAGACGTATTGGAGCATAAGCTTTCGTGGGTGAATACCCACTTCGTCAAATGCATGTAGCGGAAATTTCCAGAGGCAGGGATATGGTTTTTGTATGAAACCCTTATACTGTGGAAGTGGATTCAGATTCCATGTCACCAAATTATTCAGCTAGCCATACTGGATTCTGTAACTGGTTACTTTCATCTAAGAGAGAAAACCCTTGTTTAGTATTGGCTGAGCATTAAAAGTTGTGCCTCATTTAATTGATTTATCAAATCTAAGAGGAATCTGTCATCTCAGAGAGGCACATTTCCTTCCCCTGTTCCCCACTTCCTCCTGGACTACTGACCCTGATCATTAGCAGGTACTTACTAACATACACTGGCTCATTTGTGTTGGCCACTCTATGAGGGGTAGAGTACAAGGCATGCAACCCCTGCTTTCCCCATCGTGCCTGCAGCTGAGGGGCAGGGAGACTGTGCAGGGATGGGTGTGTCCATGTATGCATGTCTCTGTGTGTGCATTGAGGGGGACGTTTATACCCCTGCTTACACCTCTGCACAGTCACATTGGCTGGGCCGCAATCAGGCCCTTTATGTTCCATAAGGATATTCCCAATGGGGGTATTCTCAGCTATAGAGGGAAAAACATGTTTATTAACCAAATAAATATAGTGTCTACTATATTATCCTAATAATAATACTTAGCGTTGCATAACACTTTAATTTTACAATGCACTTTTCAAACACTGACCAGTGAAACTTCAGTTGTGGAGAATATCAATGTAATGATGTATTATCTGCTAATCTGTGTAAGCGGGTTTACAGTTCCAGTTGTAGCTCTCCTAAAGCACTCACAGCTTCACGCTTATTTGTGCAGCAGCATTCAGCCAACGTACAGCGTCATACAAAGGAAAGTGGAAGCTCTTTCAAAGGAGATTGTAGCATCGTTCTTTTAAATGGTCATTGAGATGGAACTGTCTCTGGGGATGTGTTTCCTTGCTCCTCCAGCCTCCAAACACACTAATATTTAAAAGATGTTTTGTTTATAATGGCTGAGAGACTGGGCTATTCTCCTATCGAGAATCTGTCATCGTGGAGGAAACTTGGAATTACTGGGCTACCCAGTAGCTCACTGAGGCAGCTCTGCCAGGAACTTCTGGAACCAGGGCTTTCCCTATATCGGGGCTGAGACTGCAATACTTCCCATTAGTCTCTCTTCCTTGCAATGGAGACAGCTCCTTGACACACTCCCACATCCACCAATGTGATATATGCCATCATGTGCCAGCAATGCCCCTCTGCCATGTACATTGGTCAAACTGGACAGTCTCTACGTAAAAGAATAAATGGACACAAATCAGATGTCAAGAATTATAACATTCATAAACCAGTCGGAGAACACTTCAATCTCTCTGGTCACGCAATCACAGACATGAAGGTCGCTATCTTAAAACAAAAAAACTTCAAATCCAGACTCCAGCGAGAAACTGCTGAATTGGAATTCATTTGCAAATTGGATACTATTAATTTAGGCTTAAATAGAGACTGGGAGTGGCTAAGTCATTACGCAAGGTACCCTGTTTCCTCTTGTTTTTTCCTACCCCCCCCCCCCCCCAGATGTTCTGGTTTAACTTGGATTTAAACTTGGAGAGTGGTCAGTTTAGATGAGCTATTACCAGCAGGAGAGTGAGTTTGTGTGTGTATGGGGGTGGGGGGGATGTGAGAAAACCTGGACCTATGCAGGAAATAGCCCGACTTGATTATGTAAAGAGTTGTCACTTTGGATGGGCTAGCACCAGCAGGAGAGTGAATTTGTGTGGGGGGGTGGAGGGTGAGAAAACCTGGATTTGTGCTGGAAATGGCCCACCTGTTGATCACTTTAGATAAGCTATTACCAGCAGGACAGTGGGGTGGGAGGAGGTATTGTTTCATATTCTCTGTGTGTATATAAAGTCTGCTGCAGTTTCCACAGTATACATCTGATGAAGTGAGCTGTAGCTCACGAAAGCTCATGCTCAAATAAATTGGTTAGTCTCTAAGGTGCCACAAGTACTCCTTTTCTTTTTGCGAATACAGACTAACACGGCTGTTCCTCTGAATCCCCTCTAAAGAGAGCCTATAGAGGGTTTTCCTCAAAGAGCTTTGCTCTCTTGGCTAGGCCTCAGTTAGGGGATCCCTATCCCCTCTTTTTTTGTACTTTGATCCTTCTTCCCACCCCCACCTGCCATTGCCGACTGCTTATCAGCCCTCAGCTCATCAGCAGGGGATTTAGGGAGTGGGATAAGACTGACCAGGCCTCTCAGCAATATCCTCTCCCCAAGGGGGGGGGGGGGAATAGTGCTGGACACCCATGAAGCTTTCTACTGCATTTGAGGTGCCACTCCCATTGATTAGGTCTTTGCCTAAGCAGCTGCTTCAGTATTCTAGCCTCAGCTGGCAGAGTCACCTCCCAGCTCAGGGAAAGATTTCAGTGCCTTTTAGCAAATCCAGCACCTATCAGGAGGCCTGCATGTGAGACTCCATCACAGAGGGCCTATGCTGCTATAGCCCGTCAAAATGGCAGACAGGATGGAAATAATTATAATTATTCTGGAAGCACCACATGCCCATGGTGCTGGGGTCTGTACAGATATATAGCTAGTGACAGACTCTGCTCCTAAGGACTTACAAACTTGTAGTTAGAGTGTGAGGTTCCTGCAGGTGGGATTTTTTTCTGAAGGGGATTCTCCTTGCTCTAGGGACAAGCTCTAAGGTACTTTCCCTGGCCTTCCAGTGACTCCTGGACCTAGCCAGTTAGCAGCCCCTCTCTCAGCCGCTTTCAAAAGTATAATAATATTTTATATATATATATATTGGTAGCCCCCAAAGGCCCCAATTGGGAAGGGGATGGCCACCCCATTGTGCTGGTCTCTACAAACACAGAAGAGAGACAGTTCCTGCCCTGAAGGATTTACAGTTTAAAGACACAAGCAGACAACTGGAAGAAAGCTAATCTTGTGCCAATATTATAAATAGGTAAATGGGATGACCCAGGAAATTATAGGCCTGTCAGCTTGACATCAGTCCAGGAAAAATGATAGAATGGCTGAAACTGGACTTGATTAATAAAGAATTAAAGAAGGCTAATGTAATTAATGCCAATCTACATGGTTTTATGGAAAATAGATTCTGTCTAACTAGATACCTTTTTTGATGAGATTATAAGTGGTATGATAAGTCTAAGTATATTACATCAACACTATTACCATTATGTAAATTATTTGACTTGGTACCACTTGACATTTTGATTAAGAAACTATATTGATACAAAATTAACATGGCACACATTAAGTGGATTAAAAACTGACTGACAGGTCTCAAAATGTAACTGTAATCGGAGAATCATCATCAAATTTTTAGAGGGGTGCCAAAGGGATCAGTTCTTGGTCCTGAGCTATTTAACAGTTCTATCAATGACATGAAAGAGAACATAAAATCATTGATAAAGTTTGCAGCTGACACCAAGAATGGGGAAGTGGTAAATAATGAAGAGAACCAGTTGCTGATAGAGAGAAATCTGGATCACTTGGTCAACTGCGCTCAAAGACACTATATGCATTTTAATACCGCTACATGTAAAGCTATACATGTAGGGACAAAGAATTACACACTTTTTACAGGGTGGGAGAATCTGTCCTGAGAAACAGTCATTCTGAAAAGAACTTGGTGGCATGGGGATAGATAATCAGCTGAACATGAGCTCCCAGTGTGACTCTGGCCAAAAGGACTAATGTGATCTTGGATTTATAAACAGGGGAATCTCAAGTAGAAGTAAGGGGTTCTATTACTTCTGTATTTGTCACTGATGTGACTGCTACTGGAATACTTTTGTGTCCAGTTCTGGTGTTCACAATTCAAGAAGGTTGCTGCTGGATTGGAGAGGGTTCAGAGAAGAGTCATGAGAACAATTAAAGGATTGGAAAACTTACAGTGTTAGACTCAAGGAGCTTTACCCATTTCATTTATTAAAGAGAAGGTTAAGGGGTGACTTGATCACAGTTTATAAGCACCTGCTTGGGCAATAAAACTTTAATAATGTGCTCTTGATAATCTAGCAAAGGTATAACAAGATCCAGTGGCAGGAAGTTGAAGTTAGACAAATTCAGATTAGGAATAAGGCATACATTTTTAAAAGTGAGGGTAATTAACCACTGGAACAATTTACAAAAGGTTGTGGTGAAATCTCCATCACTGGAAACTTTTAAATCAAGATTGATGTTTTCCAGAAAAACATGCTCTAGTTTAAACAGGAATTAATTGAGGGAATTTCTGTGATCTGTTATACAGGAGGTCAGACTTGATGATCACAGTGGCCTCTTCTAACCTCATAATCTGTGAAGTGATAGGGGTCCGGTTACAAAATACAAGCAAAGACTTATTCTCCTAAAATACTTAGGCACTTCTTAGAAACGCTGCTCAGAGCTTCCTATGATGAAATTTGGGGACTGCAGTGAAGAGATATAACCCAGGAGTTTCAAGTCTCCTCCAATTTACAGGCTTTTGTTATGAGATATATTTACGGGGAGAATACATTTGTTGTAGTAAACCTGCTAGGAACATTCATTGCCTCTTCATAGGCTCCTAGATTTGCAAGTGACTTGAGTTTTCATCACAACCCATGGGAAGCTGTGGAAGCCTCCCAGAAATGACTTCTCAGAGAAGGCAGAGTACAGGTGCTCCAGGAGTACATCTACATTTGTGCTAATATGGGCATAGATGTACCCACTCTAGCTTAAGCTAGCATGCTAAAAATAGCAGCATAGCCAGGGTAATACAGGCAGTAACTCGGGCTAGCCACCTGTGTATGTACCCACCTGGGCCCGCTGAGAACATACACCAGTGGCCAGCCTGAGCCATTACCCCGGCTACAGTGCTAATTTTAGCAAGCTAGTGCAGGTGCATCTGTGGGAGCTGGGAATCACACCTCCCAGCTCAAGTGTAAAAGTACCTGGGAAAGTTGCACTGGCCGTGTCTTTCTCCCATTTCTCATATTGTCTATGTAGAGAGTAGAACCCACTCCTGGAGAGGTTCTGTTAATGAGGCATAACAACCACAGAAATGGTTGAAAGACCTGCAGAGGAGTAGTTAAAGTTCACACTTTGCATGCAAAGGAAATTCTTTGAGCGCAAAGTTAATCTTCATAAGGTCTGAAAACATTTAATAAAACCCTCTTAAGCATATGAATTATTAAACCATGTTTTGCATTTGACCTATGACATGTATCAGATTCTCCCGTAAAGGCAGATTTTTCAAGACAGGGGTACACGTGGAAGGCATTGCTGGTATAACTATACCAATCTACTGTATCTGTAAAGTGCTGTTAGTGTGGACGTAGCTTATATCAGCAAAACTGCATTTTTGCTGGTCTAGCTTATTCCAGTGCTGCCCCCCACCCCACCCCACCCACCTCCACGCAAAAGAAGCTAGACGGGCAAAAGCGAAGTCTTGCCAGTACAAGTGCATCTGTGCCAGGGGCTTTTGCCAGCACAGCTCTGTCAGTCACAAATCACACCTCTGCAGACTTCTGACCAACATACCTCTGTTGGCAAAGGCTAGTGAGGTAGACATCGCTTTAGTACTGCTCCCCTAATATTTTGGCTTACCTGGGTGTAAACATTTTTTGAAATGGAAGGTCGGTCTAATGTCTTTCATATGCATAATAAAACTTTTAAAAGAAAAAGGAGGTTGGTTAAACAAATCTGTATGGATTTGCTCTTCCCCTGAGATTTACACTGCACCAACTTCTTTGCCTTAGCAAAGACATGAGAGAGAGAAAGAGAGAGATCTTGGAACTGCCTCTCACTGCTGGTGTCTTCCTTTTCCAGGAGTATGAATTCATAGTGCTGCCCAATGCCTATATGATCCATATGCCGCATGCTCCCAGCTTCGACATCACCAAGTTCCGCTCCAACAAGCAATACCGCATCTGTCTGAAGACCCTGAAGGAGGAGTTCCAGCAGGATATGTCACGCCGCTATGGTTTTGCAGCCCTCAAATATCTCACGGCAGAGAACAACAGCTAGCACGACGGAGCCTGTTTACGGGAAACAGACACTCAAGGGAGGAGCCACTTAACGTTTGGGGCCCAGTCTTTTAACTTGGAACTGAGACACTTTTTTTGTTTTTATATCATACCCAACAGTTCTAACAGTAGAGAGTTGAAGCGATATGTCTTCAGACTGTGCTCATTAGCCACCTCCCTTCCACCCCTGCCCGCCAGGCTTTCAGCGTTAGCATTCGCAAGGTGTGAATAAGAGGGCCCAGCCATGCACCCATCATATCACAAACAGTGCGGAGCGGGGGTGGGACAGGAATATGTTTTCTGTTCTCAAAACAGTTGAGCAAAGACAGATATCCAGAAAATAGGATTTAATGTTGCTATTTAATAATTCTACATGCTTTTTATCTGTAAAGGAAGATCTTCGGGTCACTGTCCTGTGAATTTTAAACCCACACTGCTCTAAAAGGGGAACTTTCACCTGTGAAATTTTGCATTTCCCCTCTTGATACGGATGACTATTCTAATGAAGGGCAAGATTTGAAATAGCCTTGAAAATGAAGGGGAAGCATATATCATATCCCACTATAGAGAAGGTGTGCTATAGGCTGAGGCATATCCATGGGATCAGTTGGTGATTGATCCTCAAGTTAATTCTGTATGATCTGGAAACCTCCCCGCCCCAGCCATAAAAGCCACTCCTTCCCTTTTAAAAGGAAATTTTGGCCTTCATTCTGCTTGTCCATCCCCAGTTCTAGTGGTCCAGTAAAAAAGATTGGTGCCTCTACCAGAATGTGAAGGAACCTGTCAGTGTAAGGCATGTGTTCACCTGAGCAATTCATTCACATGTGTCTAGTGAAATAAATGGCCATGTTTTAGCATGGTTACCATTTTAAAGGCAAGAATTGGATTTTTCCCTGGGATGTATTTTCTACTGGGGGATATTGACCCATGGGCTCTTTCAGTGCACACCCACTTGTGAAGGCATTGGGCCTTGGGCTTTAAGTGGACTTTGTCACTGAACAGGGAAATATGAGCATGGCAACAGAGCCCAGTAGCCTCAGTGCTATCAAGCTGCCTGCTACAAGCTCTCAGAACTACTTCGTTAAAGGAGTTTATAATAAAAGGAGCAAAACTCTGAGGCATGAACTCCCCATTTGAGGGGGAGAAGAGAATGTGTTGGGAATCTAAGTGTGAGTGTTTGCTTGAATGTGGGGTGGTCCAGTTCACAACCTCAGTATGTGTAGAGATATTTTGGAGGATGGACAAGAAACCTAACAAGCAAAACACATACTAAAACCAAGACACTGGACTTTTTACCATTTCCTTTATTCTTCAGTATTAATGTTGTGTTTACATGGGATGAGGAGATGAGGTTTAATGCACTGCCCTTAGCTGGGCTATTTGTATTCGCTTGCAATGTTACTAGAGAAAGCAGAATTGACTAAAGTGAGAAGTGTGTCCCTCTTCCTATTCCAGACCATGTAGAACAGTACTTACAGACATTGCTGCCTAGACTATATAATGGATCCACACTTCATTGTGCTCATTATTTTATTCTATTTTCCAGTCATTGAATCTTCCTCCCCACCTCACCATGCTAGATCTTGGTTTTCTCTCTAAACAGCTACTTTTTGAGGGGTTTATTTACAGCAACTTCAAAACACAAGTAAGCCAGGTGTTTACAATACAAATTTTGGTTAATCATACAAACATTTAAGAAAAGAACAGCAAAAGAAAAAAGCAACTTCTTTGAGACAAGAAATAAGACCAGGAGGGAGTCTGGATGTAGTTGTTACATTTTCCCCTGTGGGTGTGGACTGTGTAAGAATCTATCGCTTCCTACTTTTCCAAATTGCTTTTCTCCTGTACTTAATGGCTCACCTAAAAACTTGTGAGGAGTTAAGCCCTAGCAAAGGCATATTTATAAAACAACCCCTCCCTCCCTCATTGTTAATCTGCCATCCTTTCTCAAACTGAGTAGTGCAATACTTCACAAATAGTCCCAGTGATTCTTCACCAGGAGTAAGGGTGGCAGAATCTGTTCCTAAGGGTATGTCTACACTTAAAACGCTGCAGTGTAAACACTACCTATGCTGACGGGAGGTGTTCTTCCATTGGCCTAGGTAATCCACCTCCCTGAGAGGCGGCAGCTAGGTCAATGGAAGAATTCTTCTGTCAGCCTAGGGCTGTGTATACGGGGACTTAGGTCAGCTTAACAGTGCTGCTCAGGAGTGTGAATATTTCACACACCTAACCAACGTAGTTAAACTAACCTAATTTTCTAGTGTAGACAAGGCCTAAGTAGTCCAGTGGTGTGAAGTGCTGATCTACCTTCTTGAAATTCCTAGTCGGTCCCGCTGTATAACTAAAGCTGTTCTATGGCACTAGTTAAGTGCTGGATGTTAATTTCGTCTTTGATTCACAATGATGCCTGGGGACAGGGGGAACACCATTCTCCTGCAGTGCTAGTTATGGGTTAGATTGTACCACAAGGACACAACCCATAGCAAGGGGAGGTGCCTTGTTGTGCCATGCCATTAGCGTCATTAGCCACAATTCTGTCCCTGCTCCCCCTTCTGGTGGGGGGGTGGGAGTGGGGCAAGTAGTAATTTGTTGCTGGCGCGTACTGGCAGCAAATTCTGACACCCCCGTTTTAGGCTCAGATATGTTGGCTGGTGTAAGATGAGCGGCTCAGACTCTTCTAATAGATTAGAGTGTCATAGGTTTTCTTTATAGGAGCTGTGCTGGTTTATTTGTATTGTCATAGTCATCAAGGCGTGTTCTAATTCTGTTTTGTATGAGACTCTCAATCAAGTTCCCTGGTACTGAAGTAAGGCTGACTGCTGTTTAATTCCCAGGATTACCCTCTGGCATCATTTTAAAAAAATGTACGTGCTGCCCTCCAGTCCCCTGCTACAGTAGCGGATTCTAATGAGAGATTGCATGTTTATATTAGCAGCTTGGTTGCTTCATTTGTTGAGTCCTTCTGAACTCTCTGATGAATACCTTCTCAGCCTGGAAACGTAATGCTCTTTAACGTATAGATTTTTTTTTCCAGACCCTTCTCTTTTGACACCTTAGTCTACGACATTTCCTTATCTTTATTTCCTGGAAAGAGTGAGTCTCTGGGATAGATATCTCTGCAATGTCCTTTGTGGAGAAGATTGATGCAAAGAAGGTATTGAATTCATGACAGTGTCATTATAGCCGTTAATTGCTCCCTGACCATCCAGAGGACCCAACAGTTACTGCAGGTTTTCTGCTTCTGGCAGATGGAGCAAATTTGTTTTTATACCTATGGCTATTTGCTCTTCAAATTCCCTTTGAGCCCTCCTGGTTTCCATCTTAAGTTTTATAGTTCTTTCAACCAAGTTTTGATTTCCCATTTGTCTTGAAACTTACCATTTAATCATACTTTTATTTTCATGTCCTCTTCCTTTTTTTATTTGTTTAGGGGTATCCATGCCTTCTGTGAGTCTCTGAGCATAAGTATCCTCCATGCTGAGTCTAAGGATTTTAATTTTGATTTCGGACATTTTTGACCTGCTTCTTTTTAAATCCTGCTTTTCACAATCAAGTGTCACCATACTAGTTTTTGATGTGATTCCTCCCCAAAGGATGCTGAACTGAATTATACCATAGTCACTACTACTGACTAGGTCAACTAGAGTTACTTCTTGAACCAGCTCCTGTATGTTATTTAGGGTGCAGCAGAGTGCAAGGGTTATTTAGGGTGCAAGCTTCTCCTCTTGTGTGTTCTAGAAATAGCAGTTCCAAGACGCAGTCATTCAAGGTGTTGAGAAATAGGTTCTTGAAACTTTTTGTTTTATGACATTTGCTCAGCTCATGTGTGGGTAGTTGAAGCTGTCCATTATTACTGTTTTATTAGGCTTAGTTGCCTCTCTAATCTCCCTATACATTATTTACCTAATATCCTTTTCCTGGTCAGGAGGACAGAAATATAACCCTACTAGTGTATTTGTATTCTTCTAATTTGGGGTTTATGTCCCTGCACATTCTACTCTGTGGACCTCTCCCCTCAGAAATTTTAACTCATTACATTCTGTGGAATCCTGTAAGCATAGTGAGCCTCTCCCATCTCTACAACCTGGATAGTTTATACACAGGTATGGCTGTATCCCACTGGCTCCTGACATTCCACCCTGTTTCAGCAATTCCTATTATCTCAAGGTCCTCACCCACTGCCGTGCATTCTAACTCCCTTATTTTTTCTGTAAGCGTCTCACATTGTTATATAGACATTTCTGGTTTTGCCCATGCACTTATTTTTCTTACATTCCTTCATCTCACACTCTGATACTTTTCTGAAATGTACCTCTGTAATCTCAGCCTGTCCTTCTCCAGTTTGGCTCTAATTGCCATCCTATTTTTTACTAGATAAAGATATATCTTTCTATTACAAACAACCCTAGCAGCTGTCTTTGTCTGACCTGAGTCATCCTTGGTACCTGTGAGATTTCCTTCAGCTCCTGCTTTAACTAATCCCCCCAAACCTTGCCAGTTTTGTGTGCCAGCCGTCTGGCTCCACGTAGTATATGTGCATTTTTTTTTTCAAGTGGGACTTAAAATCATCATCTGGGACTCACTGGGGTGAAGGAATTTGCAGCTGCACCTGCATTTCCACCACCATGTTAGAAGTGAAGACTCTGGATGCGTTCACATCATTTTTAAAGCACAGATTATTTATGCAATAGGTTCTCACAGCTTCCCGTGTGGTTTCTATTTAAATCACAGACATCCCTTCAGTGACAGCGGCACCACCATTTAATATTAATTGCAGTGTAGTTTATTGCAGTGTAGTGAGTTCTGTATTAGAGGGAGAAGCATAATAATTTCATCATGGATGCAGCTGCTATTTCTCTGCACAGGTGAAAATAAGGCCTTAACACGACTGAGCCATCAGTTTTCTAAATGCCCTGTACAAACACATTACAAGTGGTCTTCTGTTAGGTACAACAGTCAATTTTATAATTAAATATAAAAATATGTTTTTAATGTTCTTATTTTTACATGACTGTTTATTCAAATATAACGATAAACTTCTACCTGGAAGATCATGTGATCTCCAGATTGTGCCAATTCCCCTATCACCATGGCCTGCCTAATGGTCACCATCTGTTTTTTAGCTGAGGAAGACTGTGCAGGACTCCTTGAGTTGTTGCCTTTTAATCAGCATCGATACTAGTCTTAGAGACACTCCCTCCTACTCTGCCAGATATCATAAGGGATATTCATCAGATTTCTATGGACCATCAACAGGACACAGAACTTAGCAGGTGGAGTGAGATGAGGATCAATAGCTATGAAGTGAAATGGGTTCCATTTTGTTTGATTGTTGGAGTGCAGGAAAGGAGGAAAAATTCTGTGGTCTTTGGTATGTGTCTGCTCCTCAAGTTAAAAACCCCCAAAGTATTTTTTTTAAATCAAGTTTCTGCATCTCTAATCAACCAGACTGGAACAACTGAGTCAGTCACCCATGCACAATGAAAGCAAATTAACCAACATTTCCACTCTGGTATCGAAGATGCTGAAACATCTTTGACATGCCAGTATTCTGCTTCTTTATGTTAGGAACCTATAATGCGTAGGTAGAGTGTGGATAGAAATATTTAAATGCTTTACTGAATCAGGACCCAATTGACGATTTTTTCAAATTAACATTATAAGCAGTCAGAGTAGAAAGAAACTACTGGCCTTGTTCAGCCATTACTGCTTGGGAAAGTGCTTATAGTCATGGATCTATGATACCCTATTTTTAGGGGACCCCCAACATCAGAATGCAGACACAGAATGCTCATTAATGTCAAAAGGAACTTACTGTATGTGCCAGTTAACTGGGCACAACATTTTCATCTTAAAAATTCCCTGGACACAGAGTGTACTTGCCCTACAGAGTGTAGTTGCTGTGGGCTGTTTAAGAAATAATTTGCGAATTAGAAAAAAAGACAAAACATTTATTCGAGTGATGGACTACGTATGTTGGTCGTTTATCCAAAAGTACTTCTAATTCCCGTAGTGGAACTCTTACCCTGTTCGTCATGTAAGTATGCAGAGTTTTATAAACCCCAAATTACAAGGTTATGTCTTTTCTGTCATGCCGCATTGTAGTATCCACTGTAAGGATTAGATTGATTTATTTTCCCCAGTTAATTACCGTTTCAATAAGGGAATAATGTCCTACTCCTTTTGACTCCTCCTATACTGACAAGAAACGATTGTGCAGTGCAAAAAGGCAATGTTTGCGTCTAATAATCTGCTAGCATTAAGGGCATGGTTTAAATCCAAAGAAGGGAAATGGTTTTGACTTCAGGCTGAAACTCTGCTTGGACACACAGTCTTTACCCTCTGCTAGTTATGCTTCAGAGTTGCAGAGATCTCTAAACAGGTGAGACCAAAGAGTTCAAACCAAACCCTGGCTATTTCCCTAGGTATTACAGCAACATAATTCTCTTATAAACAGTGCATGTATATATTTTTCCATACAAAGAGCTACATTAAAAGAATGCTGTAAAGTGAAGCACTGAAAAGTTAGGAGATGCCCAAATTAAAGTTGCTCATGCAACCTTAATCTGACCCTTTGTGTGCATGCCTTATAATACAATCTTTAAGATCACATGCTATTTTTTTCAGAGGACCCCTGCTTCATTCAATGCACGAGATGGACGGTGCTCAGGGAATGTGGCCGCTGTTGGTATTTCTTTTTATCCTCACTGGTATTGATCTTTGAATAATATTTTAGTCTCCTTGATTCTGAGCAGAGCCAGGCCCCCTTTTGCAAAGGGTAGGTTTAAACTTGGTCTTGGAAACCCTTTGGGAAAATCAGTTAAACCCTATGCATTAAGCTTTGCGTGTAGAATGCTTGGGGTTTCATTCTATAAGTCCTTCTCATGTGTAGGGCCCTTTGTAGTCAGTGGGAGTTACACACATGGAGGGCTTACACTATTGGACCCTAAACATGTGAATTCTAAAATGCAGTAAATAATGGCCTGTCTCATTTTTTAAAAAGAGCCAAAATACAGGAAGAATAAGTGAGTGAAAACACCTGTTGACTTACCTCTGAAGACCGCTAAGTCACAACTGAACATTAGTTTTGAGGTTTGTCCGGGATCTGTGCCCTTTACTTATTAACCACTAGACCACATGGCTTCCCTATTCTAAATGATCTAGGTTATTGCAGAGTTTGCGAAGCTGAGCTTTGAGATTAAACCAGCCTCGGCTCAAAGATTCATGATCTTTGTTAGTTCTGCTGATCCCATAGGCATTGCACTGCTGTGTGTGAGCAAAGGAGAAACACCGGAGGAATGCAACAACTATGGTAATGGCAGCAATCAGGACATTCATCCTTTCCAAACTCTGCCCACCTGAAGTCAACAGTTGGTTGGTTAGTTAATGGCTGAAGCAAAGCTAGTGTCCTTGCAAGCTTCTTTTGCTGATTTTGAGACAGATTTATTGCTGCATCCGTTCTCGCTTGCAGTGCTCTAAAACAACTGACATCTAAAGAAGAAAAATTGAAAACCAGTGTATCCTGATTGTTCCTCTGGCTACTCATCCATACTAAACAAAACACAAGCCATGAGTAGGCAGCAGCATATCAGGGTGTTTTGGTTTTTCTAGAAGATCCAAGTGATCTCTATGTATAATCTACTCTTTGGGTAGACTTTGCTGTGCTTCACTACAGCTCATAAAGAGTTCTCCAATGATAATAGGTGTCTATCACTCGTTTTTGGGACTCACCACCGTGCAGATTCAGACTGAGGGCATATAACTTATGTAATTTCCCCACACACACATAGACCCTGCCCAGTGCTTACCACTTACAGAAAGGCATAAAAATCCAAATGGTACAGCTATTCAATGGTAAGGCATGACAGTGTGGTTCTAGGGTCTGTGATATGCAGGAGATTAGAGTAGATGACCAAAATGGTCCCTTCTGGCCTTAAAAAGTTGCACATCCTGCTGGTATTGGTTCACACTGAACTGTTTGGGCAGAGTTTGTATCCTTTGCTTTTAAGTTTTGGGTTTGTTCAAAGTAAAGTAAAGCAAAGACAAACTAAAAAATCAATGGGTTTTGTTAAGATTCGTGAGCAGCATATGGATTTTGCAAAAGTTCATATTCATGGGGATTCATCCAGGCCAGTAGACCTAACACATAACCAACCAACTGTCAGAAAATTTGTTGTGGACCCATAGAACTCAGCCTTTTTTTAAAAACTTGTGCTTATAGCGAAAGCGAGCAAAAACAGTTCAGTTTTAGTCTCAGTTATCTGGGCCCAAAAATATTTCAGACAAAAAACTTTGCTGATTTCATTTCCACATTTGTATAAGAAACAAGCAGACTTCAGAGTCTTTTTGAAGTTTTGTTGCAAGAGGTTTGTACAGCTCTCTTCAGTTCCCATCACACTTGGAAGTTTTCAGGACATTGTGTGAAGCAGAAGACTAGAATTGTGGGTCACTGGGATCCTCCAAGAAACAGTTCAATAAAAGGGCTAGACTTCCCTGTTGCCTGGAGTATTGGTCTTGACCTTTGAGACTTCACAGGGGCTGTTCCTGTCTCAGTAGTTTCTCTGACTGTACGTGTGAAAGAACATAGGTTCATGATATTCCATATGGCAAGTTCTTTACTAAAGATACACCATCACGGTCCCTTTCTTTTATGAAAAGCAAACGGGTGCTCTTCCACTTTTAGGCTTCTGCATTTCTGCACACCCTTCTCTTTATTCTGTGATTTTGGCAGTTTTTAGTTAAGTCCAAACTTGAGAGGAAGTTGAGTGGTTGGAAGCCACAAGGATGGGATCCCGATGTTTTATCTTTATTTTTTTAACATATTCCTATTGTTGCAACTTTTCTGGCTCCTGACCCCCTGTGCCTCTAAACATCATTCCCAGGAATTACTGTTTTTTAGTCAAAAGGCAGTAACACCATGAGCAATTGCACACATACATACAAGCACATTGGGCACTCAACATTTCCCCCACTTCGTGCAGTTCCTATGTTAGCATGAAATTTCTTTAAGGCCAAGTGAAATTTCTAAAAGGCTTGATCCCATGATCTTCTTGCATCCAGTCCATCACACATTTTACCTGTGCTTCACCTTCCCCACATTTATCGCTGGCGATAGTGTCCCTCTCTCCCATTACTTTGTCAGATATTTTTAAGATAGTACAGTATCTTCTCACAGCCTGTGGGCTGTTTATGCTTATTGTGCAGAGAATCCACCTTTTCCTTGCTAACTTCTTGGGGGGGTTGGGGGGGGAAGGAAAGAGCTACTTTAACGTAAACAAAACCTCTGAATGTCAGGAATAGAGGGATCAAGCCTTGAATATAGCACAATGTTAATAGCCTCAGAGGAAGGGGAGATGCCTGAAGATGCTCAGAATCCTGTACCAATCCTGCATCCAACCTTACCAACCATTGGGTGTGAGATGCTAATGATGACTAGGGCCCCACCAAATTTGTGGTTCATTTTGGTCAATTTCACGGTCACAGGATTTTTAAAATAGTAAATTTCATGGTTTCAGCTATTTAAAACTGAAATTTCATGGTGTGGTAATTGTAAGGGCCCTGACCCAAAAAGGAGTTGGGGGGGGGGGTATCACAAGGTTATTGTAGGGGAGTAGTAATGGTGGCAATACCATGATCCGCCCCCCAAAAAATAACCTTACAACCCCCCTGCAACTCCCTTTTGTGTCAGGACCCCCAGTTTGAGAAACTCTGGTCTCCCCATGAAATCGGTATAGTTCTATAGGGTAAAAAGCACACAAAAGACCAGATTTCACGGTCTGTGATGCATTTTTCATGGCTGTAAATTTGGTAGGGCCCTAATGATGACCATGCATAGCTTTGGGGAAAGCAATGGCATTGGAAGATTTGAAAAGGCCCATTTTATTTTTTTCCCTTCACACAGCCAGCTGATTTGTCCTCCATAAAGCCATCCCCTGGTAGCATATGTAGAAATGAACCAAATGGACAGCAAACCAGGTAACAGAGTACATAAATAGTTACTCTCCTTCCAAGCTTGCTGCAGGTTGCTGCAGCTTCAGTTTTTCCATTTAGCTGACGTTCTCAGAAGAGTTCACAACATGAAGGAGACTAACAGGTGCTGAGTGCATTAAAAAGGCAATGGACCGTTGTCCCTATTTTTCTAATATGTCTACTAAGTTTTGGGTGCCTCCATTTTTCAGTGTTCCAACTTGAGCTACCTATAGCTTCCTTCTCAGAGGTGCTGAGCAACCACCGCAGTTTTTGACTCCATTTGGAGACGAGGGTGTCCAGCTCCTCTAGAAATCAGGTCCTAAGTGTTGCAAGTTGGGCATCAAAAGTGTGTGGACAGTTTTGAAAATGTCAGCCTAAGTGACTAAGAATGAGTGAGTTGACCAGCCATGGGAGCAGCAGCTTGTGTGCTTTGGAATTCAAGGGCACTGTGATGGACACAGCGTGCTAACAGACGAGAACACATTGCTTTCGAGAATAGAGGGATGAAGATCTTAATAGTTGATAGTTGAAGCAAAATATTACACAAGGCAATGTGGGTAAGGATATTCAAATGTCATTGCATCATGCTACTGTTGTAGGGTTTTGCAGAGGTCAGGAACAGCATATGCAATATATCTGTTGGCACTCTTCTAATGACATAAGAAATGAATCCATATGAAAGGAGAAACCACATTTCCCCTCACCAAGCAGGGCTTGATTTGACTCTGACTCCTTTTTGCCATGACACAGGTATTTTTACATTCTTCAGGGGGAAGACTGGGATTTCATAATCCTTACGGTGAGCGATGCAGGAAGGGAGGCTCGTCATTGCTTTGCAAGACCTGTCACATGGAAGGATTTGAATTTTAAAATCCTGTCCTTGTCTGTGCATTACCCTAATGGAAGGCCTCCTGTGTGAATGAATAGTGAACTCTTCAGTTTCTCTCCCACTGGGAGTGGGGGTGGTCCTTATACTACATTTCAGGACAGAAAAAGAAAATCCATCCATTTTGTTTTACAAGCAACTCTTGAACAGAAGTGCTCCCTAGAGAGGGATGACCTCTGTATCCCCGTTCCCAAGCGCCTCATCCCTCCAGGGCTGTTAGATTGAGGCAACTGGCATTTAACACAAAACACTTAGTTTACATGTATGCTTCAGTCTGTGTGTAAGTTTTCTAGGTGATAATTTTATTGGGGAAAATGCTGTTTAGATTGTGCGTGCAAAATAAATGGCTTGTAAATATTAAAAACAAAAACAAAAAAAGTTTAATTTTCAGTTGTGCAATAAAATTGTGAAATAATCCTCTCAATTCCTTTCCACTGATGTCTGACTTGCTGCATGTTGGTTTGAGTCACAGAGCAGCAGTGTTTCTCTAGATGGCATGAGAAAGAGGTTTGATTACCTTTTTGTTCTTTGCATTTGTGTTTTCTTTTCCATTCATATTATTCTTTGTTCATCCTGGCCCCAGTTCAATAAAGCACTTACGCACATGAGGAGTGCCACTGGTCAGTGAGACTACTCACCTGCTTAAAGTTAAAACACGTGCTTAAGTGCTTTGCAGAATGTGGACCCTCTTCCCTGTTCTCTCTTTTATGGCTGTTCCCTTGCGTACAAAGACAACACCCACACTAAGGTCTGGTCTAGCACAGGCGGGGGGGATCGATCTAAGTTACGCAACTTCAGCTATGTGAATAACACTGAACAGCAAAACACTGCTGTTGCAGATTTTGTTATCTGCCAGGTGTAAGAGCAATTCCCATGTTAATCTGAAGTCTCTCCTGGCAACAGAAGAGGCTGTGTAAGCATCAGCAGGTCGAATGTTTCCTTTAATTGACATCCCGCCTCCCTCGTTGTTAGATTTCCCAGCTGTTACTGTTACAATCTCACTTCTGGCTTGGGATCCTTGCAGCAGAAAATGAGTAGTGACTATGCCCATGGGACAACCAGTTCTGCCCTGCCATCCATGAGGTCAAGAGCCTTCATGCTCCAGAACCATGGGAACTACAAACCCCCAAAAGGAGTAACGGTGAGAGAGGGAGGACAGGTCAGCTACTGCTGACCGCTGTGCATTTTACTGAACCTAACACACCAATGCCAGAGGAAGCCTGGAAGAAGCTTATAAAAATGGCTGCTGCTCCTCAACACTTCTGCCTAAATATGCATGTAGGATCCTAGCTTTAGGACCCTATTTTTGAAAATCTTGGTCAAACATTTTACATAGACACGGGCAGAGTATAGCTTTCTTCAGAGCAGGGGTTGAACTGGAGGGAAAAGCATTACTCTCCAAAGCTCTGCCCACCCGTGACACCAATATAAGATACCATTAACATCAGATTAGGATGGTAACTTTGCATGGTTTGAATGAAATAATTAATTATTGACATTTAAATTGTCATAATTAGGCTTGGGGGTTAACACCCCACTGAGATGAATGGAAGCAGTTCACACCTCTCAGAACTACTGTTTCAGGCTCTCTGCAGACATCACTGCTTTGATTACATTGGGTTTTCACTTTTAAGATTACTTTTGCAAACATAAGGGCCAGAGGGTTTTTTTAAAAAAGTCTAAATTCTGGATCACAAGATGGCAGCCGCCAAGGAAAAGTACCAGTCTTCTGATCAATGCAAACTGCTTCAATTCGACATCTGTTTTAACACATACTAACTCATTTTAGATCTGACTTTTTCCTCCTTCCTGGGCCTCACAGAAAGTCATCATGAAGTGACTGCACAGTTGTCATCCTTCCTACAGCAAGTCCTTGGTTTCTTCTTTCATAGATGTGCTCACAAATATTTCTTCTTGAGAACTGCCTCGTAATGGTACCTTCCACAAGTAGCCCACCAGCTGTACCCTCTGTTGTCCTTGGTGGTGGTCTCAAAATGCACACTAGCTAGAGTAACACAAGCCCTTATTCCCTTCCCAATGGATGAGATAATATTGTAAACAAGAGTCTTAAGATAGTGTGGAGGTGGAGAAAACAAGCAACTTTTGTTCCTCTATTCAGCTCCAAGGATTTGGATGGCAGGAGAGAAATCTCTTGAGCCAACATCATGATACAGTACTCAAGACAAGAGCTGTTTTCATGCCACATCTCCCTGATTGTAAAATAATTCAAAGAATACTGTACATGTAAAATTTAGACAAGTCTATAATGGTAGCCTATATAAACCATTGGGAAGGCATAAGAAACTTAGAACAGTCCAGAAAATCAGACTGTATGCATTTTAGACAGCAAGTGCTTCTCACATCTGTAAGGTACCCAGAACACTTAGCGTTTTATATATATATATATACATATGACAATGGTAATGCAATAGGTTTAAGCTCTGCTAACTACTTCTCTGCTTAAGATAGCATTTCCCAAAGTAAGGAGGGCACCCCCTGGGGTGACTGGACAAGCTGTGGGGGCCAGAGCAAACACATCAGTTAAGATGGTTAGGCTTTTAACAACCCATGGCAGGATTGTGTGTGCACACACGTGTGCGCGGCAGGGTGAGGTGTGGGGAGTGGTCAATTATTTTCCATTTTCCTCGGCATGAGCTCAGCTAGTTGGAGACATAAATCCTGCCTCTTTCTCCATGGGTGTGGACGCTACCCACACAGTGGAAAAGGTGTGGAGCACAAAAGAATCTTGAGGCGCTACGCAATAATAGGGGAAGGGTGGAGATGGGATGGGTTCAAGACTAGAGGATTTTATAGTGCCTACCTTCAGAGGGAGGGCTGCATTATGATGTGTTATGTTCACAGAATACACACAGAGAAATTAGATAAAAATATAAACACTGTTGCTGGGAGGTTGCAACAAAACACTACTTTAGTTCTTAGAATTGCAAATAAAATTCAGTTCACAAGAACCCCCCCCCCCCCAAAAAAAAACAGAGTGGAAAAAAGCTGCTCTCTAAAAACTGAGCTGCACAACAAACCCCTGCCTTACTTTAGCTGTCTGTCTGCAAAACTGACCACATGAATGACTCCTGAAGGCATTCTGCACCAACAAATTAAAAATTCTGCACACAATATTTTAAAAAATTCTGCAAGTTTTATTTGTCAATAAATAAATGCAGAGGCTCCAACATGACAGTGGGGAGCACAGGCCACTGGTTATATGAAGGTGGGAGATCATCCTGCAGACTCCCCACCCCTGGGACATGGACCCAACCCTGACACAGCACAAGGCATGGGCCTACCCCAGAACACCCTGAGGGCTCTGCTCCTCTGCGCCAGGTGTGCGGCAGGCAGGCTCAACCAGGCAGAATACAAGTCTGAAGGGGCTTGGGGTGAGAGGATTCTGTGTGGGACAATCTGGGTGCAGGCAGCTCAGTGGGGGAGGGTCTAGGTGTAGGGGGATCTGGATGCACAGAGGCTCATTGTCGGGGTTCCAGGTGTAGGGGCAATGGGACTCTGCAGGGGCTTCCAGGTGAAAGTGGTTGGGGCTCAGCAGAGGGGTCTGGGTGCTGGGGAAGTGGGGCTTGGTGGGGTGGGGGTCTGGGTGAAGCTAGTTAGGGATCAGTGGCATGGAGGTCTGGCTGTGGGGGCTCAGGGTGGTGCGGGGGGTGGGGCTTGTCAAGGTGGGGGGTTGAGGGCAGGGAGCTCAGTGGGGGGTGGTCTGGGTGCAGGGGTGGGAGCCCGGAGGCAGGGAGTCTGGGTGCAGGGATTGAGGTTCAATGGGGTGGGGTTTGGGTATGGAGGGCTAGGGGGGTACTGGGTGTACAGGTTGAGGTTTGTAGGGGGTGTCTGGGTATAGGAGGTCCAGATGCACGGGGGTTGGATGGATGGGGGAGCAGCTCCCCATACAGTGACCCCTCCCTCCACAGCTGTGACGCAATGGGGACAGGAAGCAGGGAAGGATGCTGAGCTTCCTGCAGCTGGGGATGGTTTCTGGGGGTGGGTCTGACACAGAGGAAGAGGAAATCCTGTCCTCCCCTGCCTCCAGCCCAGCCAGGACTAGCAGCTGATCCTGGCTCAGGGTAGGAGCCACTGGCTGGGGTGTCCCCAGCCTGTGGCGATTTACCTCTCCATCGGCTGCTCTGGGTGCCTGAAATGATGTACCTGTGCAGCTAGGGAGTGGTGCATAACTGCTCTTGCAGCTTCCCTGTCAGAAAGTCATTTTTCTGCAGGGAAGCAAAGAAATCTGCAGGGGACATGAATTCTGTGCACGCACAGTAGCGCAAAATTCCCCCAGCAGTAATGAATGCACACTTCCTACAGAGCCCCGTAGCCCAGGAACAGGAACCTGCACACTAACTCTTAAAGAGAGAACTTGCAATTCACTTCAGCAATTGTGCTGACATAGCTTCTGTCGTCTTGAGTGAAGGACTCCTTCCCACCCTTTCCCCTGTGCATGCACCTAGCTGCTTGGGCTGGTCAATGGGTAGAGTATTTGACCCTGTATGCAGAGTGACTGTAATACTGAAACAAAAGTCAGCATAGGTTAGTCAAAAGAAGTTTCACTTTAGGAACTACATCCAGACCAATTTTACATCCAGACCAATTTTATTTCATGTGTCAAATCTAGGGTTTCTCATTACAGAGCACAGGCCCCAGAAGCAATTTCAAAACTCAAAGCCAAATAGTGCATGTCTTTATTAGTTTTCCCTTGTTCCAGCATTAAGGAGATCTCTATAAACTTCAGTGTTGGGAAATATAGCTCCCAAAGATATCACACACAACTCAAGAAGTTTCATTCTTTAGTTCCCGTAAAGCTGGGAGCATTCAGTTTTACGCAGACATCTTCAGAAGCTTTCACTAGTAAACTGACTCCTCAAGGGAAGAGCTCTTAACTAAAAGACAGCAAAATGCTAGGTACTCTCTTCTAACATTTATCACTCAGCTTGGTTCCCATATGACTTTAATCAAGGAGTAAGTCTTTCCACACAGCAGGCCAGCGCCCAGCTGCATCTAACACAGATTGCACTCAAGGGCTAGAAATGCCATTGCAGGATAAACAGCAGCCCTTTTTTAAAATCTCTGTCCATTCTCATGCCAAAAATTAAAGCTTCCATTCCTCCTTGGAGATTGAATCTTATTTTAATGTCTCTTTGAGCAGTTGTCTTTGTATTTTTCCATTATGAGGTAGCTTTACATATAGCACTTGAAGCCAGAAGAATCTGCAAACTACAAACCTCATTATGCACTTTAAATAACTAGGCAGGGGAAAAACTCATTGGGGAAAATTCATCCCTGCTGTGATTAACGTGTTTGTCCTCACAGACATGAATATAGGACTGCCTTGTTGTAGTGCGAGCCGGGGGATACAAAAGCTCATACTGGTTCAGTAAGGGGCAGTGCTTTTTTTAACGATAATTTAAA